AGGCCCAAGAACTACTCAATGTAGAGGGTTACTGTCTGGAGATGTATGTGCATAAGAAAAGATAAGAATTGCCGTTCATACAGTTGTATAGTAAAGATAATGATTAAATCAATAGGTCAAGATTGTAGTGACTGGGAAATAATCCTGCCAGGAGTCTGTTCCACAAAGCAACAGTTCTTGCAAATCTAAAGAAATCTTAAAAAACAAAGTAATCCAATGAACCAAACAGGAAAACAATGATTACAAATACACATAAGATTCTTCAATGGAACTGTAGTGGAATAAATAAAAAAATTATTACCAGAAATAAATTTTTGAAGGAAAAGATATTACCAGAAATACGTTTTTTGAAAAGATATGCCAGCTATATGTTTCTGGAAAATTACTATTATTATCTATATATTTCTGAGAAAAGAAATATTGATAGAAATGGATTTCTAACAAAACAAAAATATTATTGGAAAGAAAAAAAAAGTCGTTGGCATTAAATGACCCATTGAGGTTGATATGCCGTAAAACAAAACAAACAATTCTTGCGAAGAAGCTGTTTGAATGAAACTTACTCCTTACTAATGGAATACAAAGGGAATGAAGATGATTCATCCTTGTATATGTAGTATGGCAGGTGGAATATAATTCATCAGTTTTTTTTTTATTATAAGTCTTTCTATTTCTAGCCTGGTAGATTGTCAATTTCCTACAGGATAATAGCCTAGTGAATTAAAGCATCGGTTCTTGAATTTGGTAAAATAGTGATTGTGAGTTCAATCTCTGGGTTGGGCAGTGTGTACTTGGACTCAGTGGACATGGGTGAGCAATAACTGGGCAATACTTAAAATATAAACAAGACAAGATATCCCTAGACATGGGCAGGGCAACAAGAGCAGTCTATCCTTTGTAGATTAAATAAAGGGTTCAGTTCAGAATTCCCTGTAGATTGATATGCATCTGAGAAAGACTGGGGGGCACATCAGCTTAAATGTTGTGATAAGGACAACAAAAAAAAAAGGACAACAGTTAAAATAAAAATAATGTCAATAAATTAATGTCCACTCTAACAAGTGTGTCCACTAAATATAATGTTTACTATACTAAAAAATACAATCAGATTATATATGTTCAAATATATATTGTTAAATATAACAGACTACAGACGTCTATTATGTTTTATCATGAGCCGTTCCAAGCATCATGTAATGGTTTTAGTTTAAAGAGAAAATAAAGACAAACTATCCAACATTTGGATATTTCATTATTACATTGGTCATCGATCTAAGCTTTCAACTCACATCAGCCATCATCAGAGGTGGTTATATGGATATTACAACAGATGTTCACCATCAAAGATGATATCCTGTTTTGATTTTGTCTTCTCTTGAAACTGAATCCACTTCAAAAGGCTCATGATAAAACACAAGACATTTGTTGTCTGTTATATTTAACAATATATGTTTGAATAATGATCTATTACCATTTTTTTATATATATATATATATATATATATATATATATATAAATTAACTGATTTAAAAAATATGGTTCCTTTGCTAGACAGGAATTACCATGTTTCAACAACCAAAGCTAATTATATAATTGGATTTGAAGTTTTTTTTTAGCTTCAGTTTTTGAAACCTGGTAATTTCTGTGTAGTGAAGAAACCATATTTTTAAATTGGTTAATTTATAATATTTATGCTCTATAAATTTACATTGAGCACTGTTTTGTAAAAATAAAAATATCAATAAGAACACCGGATAATATATCTTACAGTTCTTCCTTTTTACTATAATTAATATATATATATATATATATGTGTGTGTGTGTGCATGCTTACATGGGTGATATTCAGCCTTATACACATATGCATAATATACATAAACACGTATATACTCACATACACACACACCTACAGGATATTTGTGCACACATAAGTGATATACAGTTTCATACATATGCATATGCTTTCTCACATATTCTTCTTCTGCTGTTGATGCTAACCTGTCCGCTAAATTGAGTGGTGGTTGTTGCTGGGAGGTAAGGAATTTTTTAACAATATCAACAAGACATCCCAAGGAGAAAGAGAGGCAGGTCAATAAAAGTTTGAGACCTTGTTATTTACTGTTAAATATAAATTTAAAACCCTCTACCTCGAGGGGCTGTTGGGCCTTGTACAGGGCGAAGATCATTGTAAAAGAAAGTGTTATGTAATGTAAACAACAGTGGAATAATAAAAAAAAAAATAAAAAAAAAATTCAATAACCATTACCCATTTCCCCCCCGAAAAAAAAAAAAAAAAATACATACATATATATATATATATATATATATATTTTTTTTTTCAAGAAACAACCTGTGTGATGAGCAGGATTCATCTTCACATAAATCCTCCTCTATAAAGTTAAAAAAAAAAATAAAAATTTGTCTTTTCACCTCAGATATATTTAATTGCTTTTATATAAGAACAAACTTTTAAATATTGTTTGTCTTTCAGTATTTGTAAGAATTTGAGGGTGTGAGGAGACCAAAGGGCAATCTCCCCCTCCCCTACCCTAACACACTTCCGTGTTGAGTAATTTTCAAGTCTCGCTGTGAACACAGAGGTTTTATTTTTTTCTTATTTCATCTCTGTAAGACTTGCTTTAAAAAAAAAAAAAAAGAAAAAAGAAGCTGAATAGTGTAATTTAGCTTCATATGTCATTGAACCTTTTTTTGCTAATGTATTTGTGTGATGTTTCTGTAAAATATATAATACAGTGTCTTTGTCCTGGGAATTATGTTACCAGGATCCTCTTCCCTTTGAAATACAGAAGAGTCAATAAAAACAAATATGTTATTGATACTGCAAAAAGAAAAAAAATTTTTTTGTTAAATTTTGGTAATGTTTTATGCCTAAGTACTTCATTAAATTAAAATAATCTGAAAAAAAAATCTTATAGATAGATATGAGATGTTAAAGAAGACAATCTTTCATCAGATCCCATTGACTGGTGTTACAAAATCACAAACAGGGAGCTATCATACAAGCCACATCACTTGAACACTGTCAATAGCAACAATAATAAAAATGCTTACCACATGGAACTAGAAGGAGAAATAATCAAGATGTTTACTTTCTGCACAACCTTAAAAAAAAGTTTGGAGAAAGAACAATAACAGATAGTGGACTAATGATTTTATAAGTTTTTAACTAACAAAAATGCAATCTTGTCAGTCAATGAATGCTGTATGGAAATAGGTATTCTCAATGTTACTATTACAAATGATTTTTATTTTGAAAATGCAATGGCCATGTTCTTTACTATGAAAATGCATTGAAAATTATTTTTATTAAGAAAATGAATTGGCCATGTTCTTTACTGTGAAAATGCACTGGCCATGTTCTTTATTATGAAAACGCATTGACCATGTTCTTTACTGTGAAAATGCACTGGCCATGTTCTTTATTATGAAAATTCATTGGAATTTATTTTTATTAAGAAAATGAATTGGCCATGTTCTTTACTGTGAAAATTCACTGGCCATGTTCTTTATTGTGAAAATTCACTGGCCATGTTCTTTATTGTGAAAATACATGGGCCATGATCTTTACTATGTAAATGCATTGGAAATGATTTCTACTTTAAAAAAATGCATTGTAAATGAAATGTAATTTCTTGAAAAACTACTTTATAAATTTCAACCAACTGTAACAAAATGTTCAATCAATGGATGCCAAATGATTCCTGTATGGAAATGGCTAATCTTACCTTTACTCTTACCATTTGATTTGTTTAAAAAAAACAAACAAACAAACAAATATAACCTTTAGCCCTCTGCAAATGATTTTGTTTGATGAGCAAAACATTTCTCCTGCCACTGTTGGTGACTGATTGTTGAATGGTAGTTTGTTTGAATTTTAAGCTTGTCCAGGCATAAGAATGGAAAATCATTGATTGAAATTAAAAACACACCTCCTGTTATTGAGGCTCTTTGAAAAAGAATGCAGTACAAAGGGAAATAATACTCATGAATCATGCAGAGTGTTCAGGTTTGTAATTTTTAGAATATCATGTTTGGTTTGAAACTGTCTGGTGAATGATAAGCCTCTAAAGATAAACTGCTTTTCAATGATTGGATAACTGTATTTTTAATTAAAAGAATATTTTATTAAATATTTCATTTTAATAAATTTGACATATGGAATAAGAACTGGAGCATTTGGAGGATAAGCTTTTCTTTTTTCAATAGTGGTTTAACAATCTTTGAACAGGTGATCTTTTCTGTATGTAAGTGTGTATTATCAATATGGGACAACACATTTTGTGTTTGATTGAATTGGGCTTCTTTTACTTCAAAGTTGTGTTTAAACTCCTTACAATAAAATTAACAGTAACTTTAACTAGCAGCAAGTCAAACTGAACCGGAAGAAAAAGTTAGGATGCTTGTCTCCGCTGGTAGATGCATAAGTTCCAACGAATGATTTATTTCATGGAAATATTTCGATTAGCTGTTGCCAGTTTTGGTCACTCCTTTAATTTGTGTAAAACAGTGCAAAGAAACTAGAAACGCTTAAGAATTCAAATCAAGGGAAAAAAATCTGAAGACTTTGTGATAAGGTCATTTCAAATAAAATGAAAGGGAAATAATACATGTGAATCATGCAGAGTGTTCATGTTTGTAATTTTTAGAATATCATGTTTGGTTTGAATCTGTCTGGTGAATAATAAACCTCTAAAGATAAATTGCTTTTCAATGATTGGATAACATAACTGCATTTTCCTCCTCAGTGCAAACTATCAGTTGGTGAATGAGGCTGTATAAATGCCAGGGTGTCAACTTGTTTACCTCCCTACCACCAGGCAAAACAGGCTCTTTCTATTAAAAGGATTGCCATAACATAATCTTCTGATCCATATTTAACTTTGGAGTACATTAAGCCAAGTAAATTTTGACACTGGCAAATTTTCCCAAGGAAATTTCGATTGTGACTTAAGCTCACACCAGTAACTTACAACCACGTGACGTTGAAACACCAATTCCCGTATGATCACTGAAGTTAAGTAATGACGAGCCTGGTCAGTACCAAGATGGTGACCGCTTGGGGACACCAGGTGCTGTAAACTTGGATGTGCAGGTGGTTTAATGGATAATGGCTCAGAATTATTAATTAGCCAAGTTCCAATTCCAGTTGGGTTTTATTATATTTACTTATGAGCAAATAATCTTTTAATGTGGGTAATATGCATACATAAATCCTCAGTCCGCCCCCCTCTTCGATCAATTTGAAGTATTGACATCTGTAGATAAAGCAAAGTGCTTTGCTCGGAAATTCTCTTCCAATTCCACTCACGATTCATGTGGTGTATATCTGTCCAATTTCCCTCCTAGAACGGAAACTCTACTGAATAACACAGTCATATCTCGGTCTTTTCTAAATTCCACACAAGGCATGCGGATTCGACGGTATCCCTGCAGTCGTCCTAAAGAAATGCTCTCCTTAACTGGCACGTGTTCTCGCCATACTTTACGAGAGAACAGGAGCCACTTCAGGAGCACATGAGTTGACGCATTCTCTTCATATTCCATTGGTAAGGAGGAAGTTTCATTCAGCTTCTTCCTCAGAACTATTGCAATTTGAAACGGATTCCCGAGAGGATCACTACTACCTTAAGCTTTTCGAGTGTCGATTGTTATCTCACCTAAAAATCCTCATAATATGCAACACATGCCTCCTCCCTTTACGTCCCTATTTAGTAATACCCTACCTTGAGTATCTCTTGGTACTTGTTTTAGATGAACAATGATAATAATAATAACAATAATAAAGCAGTGATATTCAGAGAAAACTTAATAAAAATGAAGTAACAAGAATTAACTAAGACGAGATGTCTTCCAGCATGAGCAATAGAATGAGAATAGCTTATACCTGTTTATTAAATAAAGCGGGAAGGGACAACTCAACGTCGCCGACTCAACACCGGAACAATTCAGGACCGAGACAACTCAGCACCAGAAAAACAGCTTTTTTTTTTTATAACCAAATAAAAGTAATTTATTAAGGATTAATACCATAATCAGTGAATTTTTTTTTTAAATAAGGCATTCGAAAAAGGCTTTATGTAAAATATAAACCAGTTTAAATATTTTAGAATGTCAATTTACTTTATTGAAAAATAAATTACATTACGATTTACTATATTAAAATAATTAAAAATAAAAAAAACTTTCTTTTTGTTTCGCATTTTTCGATTTACTTTATTAAAAATAACTAATAACAAGTGTTATTGAATTATTTTTATATGTCAATTTACTTTTTTTTAAAATAAATTTCTTTACGATTTACTTTATTAAAAATAATTAAAAACAAAAAATTGATTCATATTTGTTATGGAGTGTTTTCACAGTGGAGGCTTGTATTTGTACTAAGTCGGTCCTAAAATAGGTTCGACGTACAAAACGTTAGGAACTTGATATAATAGGTAATGACACAGAGAAATCTAGTTGCGGTCGCTGATACTTTTAGTATCCGACTAACGGTCGTCCGGCATCGACGGACTGACCGAACCACTGAGCAACTCACTTGTTCCTCTTACTACTCCTACTTATTAAAGGTGGGAGAGTCTATTAACTAATGCCTTATTTGAAGAAAAATATTCACTAATTAAGGTTTTAATCATTAAATTACTTTTATTCGGGTATAAAAAGTTGTTTTTCTGTTACTGGATTGTTCCGGCGATCAATCAGCGGTGTTGAATTGCCCTGCACCCTAAATAAAATTACCAAATATAACAGGATCCTGTACAAAGTCTGAGTACACAACAGCTGAAACATTGTTATTCCAACAGCCAAAGACAATAGCTTCAACCAATTAGTGTATAACAATAAGTAAGAATTGTTCATACAGTACTGACTCAATTATCTGGACAACTTCGGACAGAGTTTGAAACAATGTGCCCCAGATAAATTAAAAATCAAACATTTCAGCTGGAGCTGCCCAGTACTCATCTGCCTGTTTTGGGTTCAAAAACGTCTACGTGACCTTGTTTTCCGCCCTACAACGTCTTTCCCACAGACGAAATATTCGCAAGCCTCTAGCTACTCTCTCGCTATTTCCATAGCAAATGTTCTGACTAGCTACATTCTTTGTTTCCACCAGCTTTGCTTCCGGAACCGGCCATGCCACGTACACAAAGATGAATCTTCCTCATTTCCTTCGTATTCCATTAGTAAGGAGTAAGTTCCACTCAAACAGTTTCTTTCCAAGGGGGATTCTGAACTGAACCCTTTCTTTAATATACGGAGAGTAGATTATTCTCTTTCCACTACCAATGGCTTGAGATATGTCGTCTAGTTCTTATTTTTCATTATGGCTCAGTTATTATTTATTTTGTTCGGACTGTTGTCCTTTTCTTTATTGCCATATTCACGACGCTCCGGCCTTCTTCAGGTGATTAGAATTTCGAACTGAATTCTTTATTTTGCCCTCCGGGGTAGATTTTGAATATTGTAATAAAGATGAGGACAACAGTTCGAACAATGTAAATAATTACAATAGCTCATCTCAAAAATATAGAAAGAGCCCGAAGAAGGCCGGAGCGTACAACGGCCAAAACGTCGTGAATATGGCAATAAAGACGAGGACAACAGTCCAAACAATCTAAATAATTACAATACCTCATCTCAGAAAAATAGAAAGATATGCTCAATTATGGTTTTCCTTGTTTCTATTGAATTATTATTATAAGCAGGTACGTTAGGTTTAAGTCTCCAAGTTCTCCACAGACAATTGTCCCACGGGACAATAGTGGATTAATACGTTGGTTCATAAATTTGCTGACATAGTAATTGTGAGTGCAATCTGTCGGTCGGGTAGTGTGTACTTGTAGGTGATGAATCTCACTACTCTATTGTTATTTTCGTCAGACCTTTACTAGGACTTGGTGTACTCAGTGCAGCGAGCAATACTAAATAAGAACTAGACAAGAATCTCTAGTAGAACGAAAACAGTCTTCTCCTGTAAGGGTTCAGTTCCCTGTAGGTTACCCGGAACGGCATACATCCGAGGAAGGCCGACATATTGTGCAAACAAAAAAGACATTAGTCCGCATGTTCATAGTGCAAACAATTTTGGACAGCATGCTCAGATATTTATTTATAACTGTTGAATTCTGTTTCAATTAATGTCTCAAAATTGCTAAGAGAATCTCATTCATCATTATAACATCTCAAACTAATGGTGTAGTTGGATAGTGCTAATAATGATTTGAAAAAAATTCTTATTAATGACATAATACATTGGGCGATCATGTATCTTTCGATACATGACTAACGAGGCAGATTTTTTTTTCCCGGAGTAGATTACCATTTCTTTCTGCGGTAGACCAGTTAACATCCAAGCTACCCGGTCTGTCCTGCTATTTGCCCATAGAGAAGAAGAGGATTTAAGGGTATTAGCACGTAAGTGAATGTAATGGATTCGAACTCAGCTCTCCGATTCATCAATCCGAGCCGGTATCCATTCAGTTATGTGCCATGCGTGGTACACACTTAGGCGATCATGTATCTTTCAACGAGACTGACGAGGCAGATTTTTTCCTCCGCAGTAGGTTGCCATTTCTTTCTGTGGTAGAAAGTTGCCATTCAAGGCTATAGAACTCGGTCTGTCCTACTATTTGCCCATAGCTGGGGGGAGAAGAAGAGGATTCATACCTTTCCCAAGGGTATTAGCACGTAAGTGAATGTAATGGATTCGACTGGAATTCGAACTCAGCTCTCCGATTCCTCAATACGAGTCGCTATCTATTACGTTATCCGTGCCTCCTACTCTTCGGGTTTATATAGGGAATAGCCTTTTTGGTGATAGTCGTCGTCGTCTTGGTGGTGGTGGTGTTGTTGAAGAAGAAGAAGAAAAAAACAGAAACAACAACACCTGTTCCTGTACAGGCATCGAAATTAAGCAATGACGAGCCTGGTCAGTACCTTGATGAGTGACCTTATTGGAATACCAGGTGCTGTTAAGCTTGACTATGCAATTGGCGTAATAGATAATGGCTCGGAATTGTTAAATCGGAGAGTCGCGTGCCAATTTCCGTTGGGTTCATTATATTCATTTACGCAAAAGTCTTCTTTTTCTTCTTCACTAGCAACAGCAACAACAAATACATGATGAAACCCAATATACTCATCATGGGACAGTCGTCTAAGTTTACACCGGGCACATGTATCGTGTCCAAATTAAACACAATATGATGAAAATTAAACACAAATCCTCTAAAATAATAAATGAAGTAATAAAAATAGCTGATTAAAAAATAAAACCTATTCACTGTTCATATATATATATATATATATATATATATATATATATATATATATATATATATATATGATCCAATTAGCGTATTAATTAATCACGTCAAACCAGCTTTGAAAATAAGGAAAAATGAGAAAATCAGCAGTCAATCATTGAAACCTCCTGACAGGTGAACCGGGCATTTACGAAAACATTCGTCTATGAAACTCCGGAGTTAAGATGCTGAATATAACGTCTATCAGCTAAGCGACAAATTTTATCACACACACACACGCACACACACACACACACATATATATATATATATATCGATATAGATATATATTTAAGTAACGAAAATCTTGGTAATCCGTATGGATAATCCCAAGGAGGATGAAATCCGGAGAGCTCAATTTTAAGTCAGAGCGAATAATTTAATTAAATTATATATATATATATATATATCAAATGCAATTGGTGGATTTTTCTATCCATCCGACAGTTAAAGGAAAAGTACGACTATTTATTTACAAACATTGCGATGAACGTCACCCAGACTATATGATATATAGTTGTATTAAAGAAAAGTGTGTGCAGGTTCGATCCCTGCCTAGAGGTATATTTCCTTTAATAAAAATTTCTATGATCTCGCCTGATAACCATTAATTGCAGTGTGTACGTTTGTGTTTTTCAACAAAACAAAACAGATGTGTCTACTCAGTGTTTTCCCTCAAAATGTTTATAGTAATTATAAATATATATATATATATATATATACACACACAGAATTTGCGATGAATAAATGGTCGTCATTTTATATTTTTAATT